AATTATATACATTATTAAATATTTTGAAAGAGATTTTAGGAAGACATATGGTAGAGTTGTTATGTAGGCCATTCGGGCCATTGTTATCCTGTGTTGCCGAATACGGATAAAGCATGAGATTCACATTAAATCGGCTGTCTTCCGTCGATTGTTGTGTGCTAGGGCAACTAGGATCGATGGCTGAACAGTCTCGAGTCTTAGAGAAATGGTTAAAGTGCCAGTAGGTCGCAGGAAAATAAATGTACACCATCCTTCAAGCCGAGGTGCATGCTTTCTGATTTCCTCCCTAGGCTATGACTAAATGCCCATTTCGTTGTCCTTGGGTAAACTTTTGGTCCAGGGGTGCTCTTATCATAGACTTATCGTTTGCTACGTCACAGTTACAAGGGTAAATTTTGCCAACCATGGCAAACTCCGACTGGCCGTTAGTGCAAAATCGAAATAACTGCACTTATGAAACTTTTGCAAAATCTGATACAAAGCCATGTACCTTGACTAATACTTCTGCTATACCAAATGAAAATGCCTCCAAGCCTTGGCCATCCATGTAATTAAAAATAGCTGTTATTGAGAAAGGTCTAGATAAAATTCAGCGACTACACGCCTAACCTAAGTTTGGGATCCTTTCGTGGCAGTTTGGCTGGTACTGTGGTGCTGGTTTACCTCGCTCTGTAGAGTGGATTTTATTTCTAACGTCTCTCCTGATCCCTGCACGCATCATCAATGAGCAGCGTCCGTGAACCTCATGTCCTGTGACGTTTTCATATTGGGTGAGTTGAAGCGCTCTCTTTAGTTCGCTTCACGTAAGTTCACCCTTCCACTTAGTTTGTACGCATGCGCTAAAATTCGGCAAAGTCGTAGTCTTTTTCTGTGCTTGTTAAAATGGCGACGCCAGCCAGCAAACGACTATACCAAAGTTCATCTGCGGAGATCTTCTTCAGTGTGTAAAAGTTTGCTGAATTTATACATGAGAAATATAATCAGGCTTTAGATTTCATTTTATGGTGTGTTTCTTGTTATTCATAAGCTACATTTCGGAGAAAATGGGGTGAAAGATGTCTGTGTACGTCACATCTGAACCTAAAAAAAAGCCATTTTAAAATTGAAATTTTGAATTGTTCTCCAGTTTTTCCACTCATGCTACATGTCTTGGTAATTGAAAGAGTATTTGAAAAAAGGGTACCATATTTAAGCTACTGCGAATTGCCCATCGAAGGAAGTTGAAATTGATAAAACTAAAAAACGTTAGTTTTCTCAATACTGGCGTTTCACTATAGTGCGCCACCAAGAGATTGCAACGCGTTGACCAATCACAGTGCGCGAAATTTGTCGACCCAATGCGCGTTCGGAAAGGGTCGACAAATTTCGCGCGCTGTGATTGGCCAACGCGTTGCAAACACATGGTGGCGCACTATTGTGAATCGCCCCTATTTCAACTTTGGGTTTCTGTCGATTGATCGTCGGCCACGATTTATGTGTGCACATGTGCAACACACATGTACATATATATGTACTCCATCAACGCACGTATACATGCACTACTACGGACAAATGATTCTCGTTCAAAATATTAAATTTGCAATAACTGGAAAACACTACCGATGTTTTTTATTGGGTCTCGTTACACACGACACTTTATTTCGTTTGTTTGGATATGGAGAAATTGTTTTAAAATGGGAAAGACCGTAGACGTATTTTCTTTCAAATCTGATCGTGTTTATTTTTTAAAAATCAGTTTTTCAGAATTTGTTTCAGATTTTCTGCAATTGGGTTCATATAATACGATGGTGTAATGTTGTCCAATCAATTTTTAATTATCAGGTTATCCCCGTGAACTTTGTATTTTTCTAAAATAAATTATAGTCTCCATCTCCGGAAAGAAGTTCGGAACGGTGTCCTAAGTCGCCTGTCTCAAAATCCACAGTAAAGTGATCGAGTGCGCATGCACTAACTCTCAACTAACTGGTGCACAAAGACATGAGAGTGAACATACGTGGCTTACTTATCACACGATCGTGACGTTTAAAAGCCCTCAACGGTCTTAATGAGAAAGACGTCCAGTCTCACTCTTGCCCAAAAGAAAAGGTGAGCGACCTTTTTTGCAGGGCAGTCTGTCCGCAAATCCTTTTACGACATATCTCCCTGAAGATATTTTAGGTGAGCAACTCATGAGCGTGTACATAAACCAATGCAGTATTTTTAATTGAGTAAAATTGTTGCCATCTCCCGCCTAAAGCCACAGTGAAATCGTCTGCACGTCATGCATGAAACAGCACGATTTGCAATATCCGCTCAGGCTCAGCTCGGCCGCACGATTTCCCGAGACAATACACCAAAGACTTCCCATACTCGAAACTCCAAAATGATTTCACCAATAGATAGCTTATTGGGATAATGAGTCTGTCACACAGGGTAGGTGTCTCTGCGGATGATTAATCACAATACCAGGGGGCAGGATTTAGACATGTCTGGCTTTGTGGCTTGGTTTCAAATTGTATCCCCGACAACAATGGAAGGCAGAAACATAAAGTCATTGATCACGTCTCCTTAAAATGAAAGTAAGATCGAAGTAGAAATGACAACACTACGAGAAAAATATTTTGGAGCTTGGTCTGTGTTACTTTGCCTTCCTTATACGGCCGTTTCACATTAGTGCGCCACCAAGAGTTTGCAACGCGTTGGCCAATCACAATGCGCGAAATTTGTAGACTCAATGCGCGTTTGGAAAGAGTCGACAATTTTCCCGCATTATTATTGGTCAACGTGTTGCAAACTCTTGGTGGCGCACTATTGTGAATCGCTCGTATTTTACAGCAGTTCGGAGTTTATGAATATTTAGCAGACTTTTCAGGGATTTGAATAGTGAGTGTTATTTGAGATGATCCTGTCCACCGGGGAGTAATGGTTAGATGGTTGGATTGAGCAATGATATATGTTTTTTTCAGTACATTTTGTGACATGGGCGTTGCAGCAAGAGGCCATTCATTGTCCACCTTGTGGAGCTTTCTTCGTTTCATTCACGCACCGCATTCTTTCGCTATTTTCGAACTAAATTGGACCTCGGTGTGTCACTCAGATTCTAACGTTCTTCACATTACTTCTCCACGAGGGATTGATTTTATTATATTTTGAATGATGGGGTGGTTGAGATTGGCTCCCGCCGCACATTTCAATGGAGCGATTGGGAACCAGCGCATAGCCTCATTTGTTTGTGTATACCTCCGAATAGCCAGCCAGCTAGCTGTGTATGTATTTTTAGATTGAGATCAATCTCCCTTCACAAGTACAGTAGTGTAATGTATTAATACAAGTATACCAAGCCACTGTAAAAACACACTCACAGGAAATGGGTTAATATGAGCATCATTCAATCGTGAAAGCAATTTAACTAAGCATGAAGTAATTAACTTGAACGATACGGAGCTGAGGTCATAGTTCAGGCCACCATTATCTTCATACATCGACCCGCGGTGCCACCGTGCAGGTTTTAACAAAGACCTTTCCTCAAATTCGTTAAGGGCAAACAGAGAAATAGTGTCAAGAAAGTGCTCAACAATTTCATCTATGTGACAAAACAGAACTCACATCCGCACTCGTTTCAGATGGAACTGCAAGAACGTTCGGCAGGTACAGCAGTGGAGTTTTTTACCCGCTGCTTGGAATTACAGAGGGCGTCCTATTCACCCAGAGGAAACTAATCTACATGTATTGCATTTCACGAACGAACTTTCAGAAATGAACCTTGCAATGTGTTCATTCTTCATATCAATGTGATTTAGATTACTAGTGATTATTAATTTTGCCTCAACGTCTACAGAATTAACACATGCAAATTAATATTTACTGCGAATCATGATTGTCTGCTTCATCTCAATATTATTGATTACTTCCTAATTGACTATACCCAAACGGATTTCCACCGTCACATTTTCCCTTTGCCTATGGAAAAATCTTGTTTCCTTTCCACCTGGTTTCGATTCCGTACATTACCGTGACACCCCTCTTTTTCAGTACGTTCCCACCTCAGTTTCATTTTATTCATAATGAACCACAGTTAACTAAAATTAGAATTGCATTGACGTAGATGTTTGTCACTGGCTGAGTGCAGTCTTTTTGCTGAAGGATGTACGAATTAACGTCGGTGAAGTTCTTGATAAGCAAGACGCTAGTTGCTACCCTGCGCGGGGGGAAGCTAAGTGTGGTGAGTCATGTTTGGGGATTGTCTCGAGAAACTTGGAAGCGTATGCGTGTGCTGTAGTTTATGTACACGCATGCTGTGGAACCAGTCGCCATTTTGTTCCTGTTAAAGATTCACCCGGAGAAAGTTAGATTGAAGCTGAAAAGACTTTATGTAAAAGACATCTAACGAAGACATTCGGTATGGAAACAAGACTGGTTGTGATCGGTCTGTTTATGTTTCTGACACCTGGATATGCAGCCAAATTTCGAGTACAGCCGTCAGATTCCACAGTAACAATCGGTCAACCGCACACACTAGAATGCAGCATAGCCGGTGAATACCAGAGGGGAAGACATCGTATCTACTGGGCGTGGTCCGGGCCGCAGAACCAACAAAAGTTCCTAAGCGTTGACCGTTCACTTTACGGTTCCGTTGATGCTGATAAACGAAGCAGGTACAGCATTACTGGGAATATAAACGATGGAGAGTTTAACCTCCATATTTCGTCGACTACAGTAGACGACCAGGGGCAGTACCGGTGTATCATTTATGACTCTGGCAGTAGCATCCGAAGCTCAGCGATGCTGAATGTCCAGGAGTCTCGCTTGCCAGACCAAGGTTATCCAAAGTGTTCCATCACACCCGCTAATCCACAGCCGGGGGAGTACGCCACGTTCTCGTGCGTATCAGCGGGGGGTGTGCCACCGGCCACCCTCTCTTGGGCTCGGCGCAAGAAATTGAATCTCCCCGCACACTTCAACTCGACAGGCCAGCAGACCGGAGCCTATCTACATCGACTGCTCAGCCAGTACGACAACAACGTCACGTTCACTTGTTACTCCAGGTCTGGCCACTCGGCAGCATTTGGCAGTTGTTCTGTGACCCCCTTCTCAATCCCTACTCATGTCACCATTATGCCTCCTCAGATGGTCACTGTTGGGGACTCAGCAGAATTTTTCTGTCTGGCCACGAGTGTGCCACCCTCTAACAGGTACCGTTGGTTTGTCGGACGGGGACAATCCATGACAAGGGTATCAAAGACAAAAGGACGTTTTGTGATCGCCAACCAAGGAGCGTCTCTGCGGATTCTGAACATCACCCGAGAAGACAGCGGGATGCCGGTGCGATGCGTTGCCAGAAACCCTCTTGACATGAAGGGAATGGACGAAGATATGTTGCAAGTTTTAATCCAACGGGACCCCATTCCCACCACAACAATAGCTCCCACTAAGCCCCCAAGGACTACTACGAAGTCCCCGCCCACCCCGTCGCCGACGACACTTCCTCTAACTGTCCTTCTGAAGACATCACAACGGATTCGGCTACAAACCTTACGAGCCCAAGCTACCAAGGCACCAAGTCTGGCCCCACCTGAACAACCTACTCTGCGTACTGCATCAAAACAGCAACCTCTAACGCAGTCTCCCGAACCCAAGAATCCAGTAACAACTGTGCTTGTCACAACAAATAAGATGGATGAACCTGTAAGTGCATCACCACCGCTTCAAGATGTTACCATTCCGCACGTGCCCCCTGATTCTGTCCTCCAACCCGGTCCCAAAGGCAAAGGTTTCACGGCAGGTGCTGCGGTAGGATTCACGGTTCTTGTCCTCATCGTCCTCGCACTGACTGGAATACTGATCAAAATCAAATTCGTGGACAAGCATGAGAAACCCGTCAAAAGGAAGACTCTTCGCCCGGCTAACAAGCCTCGTATCGACAAGTTGGACATTGTCGTTGTGCCGAATGCCACCCCGGAAGAAGATGGCAATACAAATAATGCTCAGCCGTCAAACAATACTGATGCTACACCTAAGCCAGCCAGATCGGCCAGACGACAGTCCTTTGTCCATCCTGATTTCCTGGAGCAGTTGGCCTCCACCATTCGATCTAAGAGCCACTGTTCATCCATGTTCAAGAGAGGATCATTCAGTTGGCGCAAGAGGAAAGCCTCCACTCTTGACCGTCCTCACACCGTCAAATCTGAGGACCCTGCACTGGACACTGAAGCCACCAGCACGGTCAAGAGGTACTCGGCGTTCTTCAATGCTGTCCCTCAACTGTCGAGCGACGAGATGCCAGTTGCCACTGCAAGGCAAGTCCAGAAAACCGAGTCAGTCTACGAGAATACTGAGATCGGCTTGAGGCTGCAGCAACAGGTGAATCGAAGAAGCCGAGATCGAGAGTCGCCTTATGAGAATACGCAGTGTCCTATGAGAGATGCTGCACCATTAAGCGACCCTGACAGGCGCAAGAGTGAGGCAAGCAGCTTGCTGGATTTAGTGTACGCTGATTTGGACTGGACAGGGTTCTCCTCCAATCAGGATGAGGTTAATGACACCGAGGAGAAGACTGAGTATGCAGCCATTAGAACCTCCAAAGTTCTGTCGTAATGCATTGTCATGGTTTCCGTCACCAGGTATAGAGGGCGCTGTTCAGAAAAAAAATCACAAATGAAAACTGTGACATGGTTTTTATCGAACATTGTTTTCCGATGGATATGTATATTATAAACTTTGAAGGTAGGAAGAAAAAAAGAATCGATATGAAGACATTTGCCGTTTAATGTGCACTGTTGTCATCCGCCGAGACTCAACTGATCGATAAGTTTTTCAACCGATTAAATCGTACACAAACATAGAGAAAATACGCGTCAGGGCATTGGACTCGAAATGGTACACTGTATGTACCTGTTGTAAAATATGGCAAGGATACAGAATATTGTGTTGCCTTTGTATATCGTCAGTATGAAGTGTTGGCATTATAAAACAGGAATCGTAATGCATTATTAACAAATCATACAGCCTACATAATCCGTAATTTGTCATTGGAAAACTGGCTGGTTTCGATGTTTCATATTTCCATGTTGAATTAAATTGTCAACATATCCATCCCCATGCAAAATGCACTAAGCACAATCTTGCTAAAGAAATAGCTTTCAGTTAAGGTATTCGCTTTCGTGTCCCTTTTGGAATTTCATTTTTTGTGTAATAGGCTTGACAGAACTCGTGCTTTTGCCGTGCATATTTATCCTAACTTTTTGCTTGTACATACTGGCAGGAAAACGATGATACACCATAGTTGTTAAAATAAGAAAGTTGCTGAGATTTAAAAAATCAGGGGGAATTTCAGATTAAGAATTTTGGATAAAACAAAGTCGCAAGCCGATTATTGCTGAACGTGTAATTGCATGAAACTTGAGGTACTTAAAAGAATAAATTCGCCAAATAGTTTTCATAAAATATTCTAACCGATCTTGTCCATGATCGTTGTGATGCATTTTGAGTTACTGATCAGAGAAGTTCCTCACGACAGACAGTGACTGTTTGCTGTGTGTTGATTCTTCGGAGAAGCTCCTAACGACTGTTTGCTGTGTCTTGATTCTTCCGTCCTTGTAAACCTGTGTGCTGCTTGGTCAGAATTTGTGTTTGCTTTAGCCAATCACGGTTATACAGAAACTTCGTTAATATTATATGTACAGCGTATTATGACAAGCAGAGACAGACCTGTCACATTTCTGCTGTGTCTTTGGGTTGCGGTTTATTTTCACAGCATTCACGTCGTTTCAACTCTACTGTAAGTATAGTGGTCGTCTTAACTATACTTTAAAAATAACCCATGCGGCAAGTGAAAACCGGTGTTACTATGTAAACGGAAAGTAAAACCGCACGTGCTGTGGAGGATAGAAGGGGGTCTTATAATCAAGGATGGTGTGAATTAAAATATCCGCACTTCGACCTTTTAACATTTCGCGTCTTTTTGCACCAGACATTAGTTTTTTCATGTACCAAAGGTGTTTCAGCTGCATGGGGGAGGTGTTTACGTACCTTTTGGAGTCCAAATTCGAGAGACGTACGGAAAATATTCAAAACACGGAGCTCACAGTGAAAAGACAATAAACAGGGGTGCTGGTGGGCTCTAGAGGTTTTTCCATTAAAAATTTCCCATTATTTTGAGTTCGTTCATAGAAGGGAACTTTGTAAAACATTTGAAAATAATAGTTTTAAAAAATAATGTATTTACACATAAAAATGGCCGGCAACTTTTTTGAATTCTGTTGCTGTTGGAGATCAGGATGGTTTTGGAGAAAGCACCGTAATTGCGATAACTTCCCTTTGATCAAGTTGCTTTCCGACAGGAATGATGGAAGTACGTGGATGAAATAGTGTATTGTATGGAATATCCAAATGTTGTATTCACACAGCAGGCAAAGCCGACTGGAATCTGTCACTGAATGAACTTAATCTGCCAACAAATGTGAAACGCCCATCATCAGAACGACTGAATACATCCTAAATATATCCCAGCGTGCTATTAAACTTCCCCTTGAACACTTATTCAAGTCAGGCGAATTTCTTGTGTCTGAGCCGAAGGAACTTCTTTGGTGGAATCGAACCTCTGCTTTTGCGGTGTGGCCGTGACAGTTGGATGTGGGGCATTCGTCTGTGCGTTGTGTGACTGTAGTTATTCGGGTCACGTATGTTCAAGGTTTTACTTGTTAGTATGGCTCATGACGCATACTTTGAGAGCGATAATGTAATATTCATGTACCAGTGCATGCCATGTCAGCTGTCAAGATTTCTCGATGGGGAAAGTGGGTCAGGGTTAAAAATATCACGGCATTGAATTGACGGAAGAGCTATCCGAATTAATGCTGCAGAAACTGCTTACGCTCAAGAATATTTGGGAGTGAACCTTGGCAACAGAGGTGTGGAAATCTGGGGTATTTACTATACATATTTAGATTGCATTGTAAAGATAATGTGACTGTTGAAATTAGATTAGGGTTAAGGACAAATTTACGCAGAAGTGGAAGCAGATGAAGCGTGGTTTGTCCTCTTTGGTCACTGCTTTTTAAGTCAAGGTTCTAAGATTTTAATCCTAATCACAAACACTTCAGTTAATCAAGAAAGCATACACCCTTAATTTAGTGGTTATTAGGACTATTTTCGTAAATTCGTGAAGCAGCGGGATGGATTTGTTCCTTTTTCACGAAAGCGCAATAAAAGAATTTCGCTTTAGTTTTTCTTTTTCCCTTTTTAGGGAGTCATCTTTTTCAGAGTGCATTATTCATTACTTCGTTTTGAAACCGAGGACTCTGGGTTATAACTTATCACACCTGACCCGATGAACGGATAGCAGTAATAGCGCCCTCACGTGGGTTAGACTTCTGAAGTCTGAGGTCGAGTTCGGGCGGCCTCTTCTTCGGGTTTCTTGTTCTCGCGGTCCGACGAACGGCGGGAACAGGGCTCAAGAACACTCTTCCCGGAACAGGATCACACACCACCTCCTCTTCAGGCCTCAGGGTTTTACAGGAACACGAGGAAAAACTCGTGAGATTTTGACTTTTGAACAGCAGCAAAAAATAGCGAGATTACCCACAAAGCCAGAAACAATGGGAATTTTTACAAAAATAACAATAATCATTTCCATAGCAAAGAAATGAATGTTCCTTTTTAAATAGCAAAGAATTCAGCCCAGCTTTCTAAAGTTTACTCTGAAAGAACGCACATGGATGCCTCCATGTTGCATGCAACAACCAGCGATAATCGGTTGCACGTTCCCATTGTTCGAGCGATTCGTGAACATCGAGAACAAGCCTCCCGAACTCAGCCAGTAGTTTCTATTATAACCAGATGAGTCGAATACCAGCTCCGTTTTTGTGACATTAATCTCATTACCTTACATCCACAAGCCACCATTGGGCAGGGAAGATCGAAAGCAAGGTGACTACTTGCGATACGAGACACGCGTATAAGTTAGACCTGAAAGGAAACTATCCAGGCTTTCACGTGACCAACGTTCTGACTGGCTCTCGCAGTGTGAAGTCAGTTAATATTGAAGGGCGACCCCGTGCGCTTTACAACAGCGAACTTTAATAAGCTTCGGGGTGTGTCAAACCATGGTTCCATACAAACACGCACTGTTGTGAAAGAATTTCTTGGAAATAATCTTTTTTAATTGATTCAAACTCCTCTCTGGAGAGTATTTCGTGTTAATAATAGGACCAACGTCAAACTGCTAGTTTCTGCTCTAACAAACTCCGTCGATTTTATCTGGAATCCGTAGTAACAGGAGAGACAATTAGGTTGGAATGTGGTTGGATAAAGTTGAGTACTGAGAAGGAAAAATCGGAGCGGAGGATTTTTTTTTTAATTTTAAAGAACTATAGTTATAATATTACATCGACAGTTTTCCTGTTTCTGTGCTACAGCCATGACTATCTGGGGTTCATGGCTGACCAATGTTTTGAGAAGGTTGCCGCCTTTAATAGCTTGATTAGCACTAGAGCTGTCAGCAGGCTGTGTCTTTGTGTCTTATACACTACTTGTTTGAAATCAGCAGACGACGTAAATCGCCCTTAGGACCACCCACTAGAGACCGAAGACTCATCGGTTCTTCCGTCCCCCCAGGGCGGCAAGACAGACCCCTCACCCACCCTCATCGGTCACCCGTGGATTGACACCTTGAGGACGCTAACCCGGAAGTGATTAAGCAGAGTAGAATTTCAAGGGGCGGGGGGTTGATCAGCTGTAGCTGGTGCTCGGCGTTTAGGGCCCGGTCGCTGTGTGGGTAGAGTGTTTGTGTTACGTGCAATGAGCCGGATACCCGAGTGCGCTCTTCACATTATTGTGTACGATCCTTCATGCGTGCTAGCTGCATGTAACAGTATTGCATAGGCAGTACACGTGCATACACACAACTCGCTGAAAAAGAACAGCTTGTTTACAACCGGCATGTCAAATGTCAATATTTGCATTGCCGTTCGGCCGTCGTCTTACTGATAGGATTGGAATGAACTGATGATGTGCTTATTCTCTGGTAGGTGCTCCTCACGTGAACAGTTGATGAAGTGATCATCAGTGCGATATTACGGAGTGGAGTTAAATTTCGACTCGTACTTAGTTGAAATTTGAGGTTACAGCAGGCTTCAGCCAAGATGCACTGTGTTTTATCGTCAGTTATTCAGCTGTGTGTTGCGATATTGATCGGCAGCGGGAATGTATATGCTACCGGTCCGCTACGAGAGAACCCAGCTGATGCTTTCACCACGCCGGGCTCTACTGTGGTTTTACGGTGCGCTATAAACAACCGTCCCGGTCAATCCCCGTATATCGTGTATTGGTATCGTCATAGCCCCAACGCTGCCTACTTGACCAAGGGAACCCGAGTCTTTCGCCAGAGCACTACGGACGACTCATGGCGGCGTCTTTCCGTGATAGGGGACACTCCAGCCGGGGAATATTTCCTTCAAATACGGGATGTCAGCATGAGTGATGCTGGCGATTACGGCTGTGTGTACTTTGAAGGAGGTAAATACTTGGGGGAGTCTCGGATCGTCACTATCACGGTGTATGAACCTCCCCATGAGGGGTATCCACAGTGCAGTATGGAACCGGCCGGGGTGTACCTCGAACCGGGACAAAAAGTGGTGCTTACTTGTATATCTTCTGGGGGGAATCCTAAGCCCCGTCTTGACTGGATGAGTTGGCATGAGATATTGCCAGGGAGAGTAGAGGAGGACCCCTACCCTAAAGCTACCTATGAACTACAGCTCATGGAGACCGACAATGGAGCAGTATTCACGTGCGTGGAGAACACTCCAGCTTTGCCTCGGCTGGCCCGGACGTGTAGTCTAAAGCCATTTCACCGGCCAACCAATGTTTCCATAGTGACTTCCTCTGTCAATGTAGGAGAAGATGCTGTGTTTACCTGCTCTGCAGTTGGTATTCCCAGTGTCACTAACTATACCTGGATAATTGCTGGAAAAACTCCGGAAAACTTTGTCTCTGCCTCAGGGGAAAAGATCGTCATCCAAGACAATAACCAGGTTTTACGGATTGTTAATGTTCTTTCTGGAGATAACGGGACAGTTGTTAAGTGTTACGCTAACAATGAAATCAATGAGAAAGGGGATACTAGTACAGAAGTTTTTATATCACAGCTGCTTCCTAGTCGTCCAAGTGGTAAGAATGCGAGCGCGAGGGATGAAGATAATGAATCGGGGATGAATGCTGGCATCATTGTGGGTTCAGTTCTTACTTTACTCCTCTTGGTCATCATCATCGTCCTCCTAGTGCGGAAGCTCATCTGTCTCAACATAAAGCAGGAGTCCTCCAGAGAGAAGGAGCAGGAGATTGGAGAGGCGGAGAGCCAACCTTTGAAGGCTGAAACTACTGATACTCATCAACCAGTCGTTAATATACACGCCAATCCACGGCCTGTTACGATCTGCCTCACACCGCGAGATGCAATCGTAGAACATATACGAGAGACAGAAGAAGCTGGTGGCCAACTTCTGAGACCATCCGATAGTGGTTCCCGGGTAACTGTAGTTGGTCGACTATCCTGTGCTGGAATGACAGTGGATTTTGGAGATATTGGACAAATGTATTCAAAGCCCGCCAAGAAGGGAGACACTACGAAGCACGCAGATGTCGTGCCAGATCCAGAACCTCAGACCTCCAAACCGAAACCCAAACCTGCTGCCAAGCCCGCTCTGCTCCCAAAACCTAAACTCCTTCCTAAACTAGGAAAGCCCCTGCCCGTCCAATCGAAAGAGGAACCAGTGTCTCCGAAGGAGGACGACCAGCCGAAAGATGAAAATGGTGAAGTCATCTATGAGAACACCCACCGTAGACCAGACATCACCATGGACCTAGGGGAAGAAAAAGATCCCCTGAAACCCAACTCCACCCACTGGAATGGGAAGAAACCAGAGCTGTTATAAAACTGAGTGTTATCCTCCCACTGGTCTGGGAAGCGACCAGAGTCGTTATAATTCAAGATTAGTAATATGTTCTCACAGGAATAGGAAACAACCAGGATTGTTCTAAGATATTGTCCACCCACTGGATTGGAAAGCGACCAGGTTCGTTATACATGTACCTCAAAACTAGTAATATCCTTTCACCGGAATAGGAAAAGCCAGGGTTGTTCTAAGTTATCCATCCACTGGATTGGGAAGCGACAAGAGTTATGAGACCATCATCTTCTTTTGAGTACATGGAAACATATTTGAAATTATTCTTGCAAACAATTTATATACATTGGTCTATACTGTTGAATTCTGTAAATACAAAGAAAAAGCCATTTATCCACATTTGTATCAACATAGAACTTAGAATGCCCTATCTTGGTAAAAGTTTGGTCATGGTAGCCTGGCAATATAAACTTAAAACTGATAAGTGATATCGGTGTGCACGGCCTTGGCATAAGTTTCTGAACAAATCAATCCTACATTTGCACACGCAAATATTTTAATAAAGTTTCTCCCACTCCCATGCTATTTAAATCTCATTCAAAATAATTGAATGTAATTGGAGCCAACACTGGTTAGAAGGAAAACAACTTGCTGATTTTTCAAATCAGCAAGTTTTAAAAAGAAATTGTTAAAACTAAAAGCCATGATATTACTAGAAAAAAGGCACCTTTTGCAACAGTTTTATCCTCATCAAGTAACAAAACATAAGTGTAAATGTACAAGTCGAGTGCATTTCTTTGGAAGATGTATTGCGCATAGGGGATTATCTCCATTTTCGGGAAACCTTTTCGAAATTGATTGATTCAGCACGACGCTAGTGATTTGTAAGGACACAAATTTTTATGATACAAGTTTTATCATTTACTTCACTACATGTACCTGTATGTACATGTACACTAGCTGTGGTTTCAACAGAGCAAATTTCATTTCTAAATCTGAAGTGAAACACAAACAGGTGTAAACAAGTGAAAAAACGGGGGGGGTGTAGACATTGTTCTTGTGGTCAAATTTGCAATACTGCTGAACACTGCCGATAATACTAGTTGTATGCGTCAGTAGTTTCATCTGTTATAAATATATGTAACCAGGTGTGATCGGCACACAAAATCCCACTTCACCCAGTCTTGGCTCTACACAGACTTCTGAACTCTTGTCATGTTTGTCTTGTCAAACGTAATCTCTACAACTTGTGTAAACCGAGCCGTGGGTTTAAACACTTTAAGTCAGTGTACAAAGGTGCATGCTTTAATGGAATTGGAAGGAAGGGTTTCAGTCGGGAAAGTTGGGTGTTGTGGGTGCTTTTTGAATATGACATCAACCAAGTTTTTACAATTTGACTTGATGTGGAGAGCTGCTACCCTTTAATGTAAATTTCGTATTTTATATTTGTCTTTCATTTTTGTGCCTTTTTTCTAAACAATAATCAGTTAGTTTGGATACGAGCAGTGGCGTAGCTAGGGTTTTACTAAGGGGGGGGGCAAAGGGGGCACCAGCATCTTAAGGGGCACCAGCATCTTAAGGGGCACCAGCATCTTAAGGGGCACCAGCATCGTAAGGGGCACCAGCTTTCACTTCAGTGGTGTGGTTTTTTGGGGAACAAATTTTTGTTAGCCTTGTTCAATATCCATCCATCCGTTCTTTTCAGTGTGGGGGGGGGGACCGGGAATTTAGGGGGTACGTGCCCCCAGCCCCCCCCCCCGCTACGCCACTGGATACGGGGTATGATGGAGGGTTTGATGGGATTGAGGTATGATGCCACTGCAGCTATGGTTGGTAATAATCTTAATTTGAAACGTTCGAGTTGTGGTGAAATATTTAGGGTTTTAGTGTCCGTGTGGGTGCCTGAACTTTTGAAAGACATATTACCCTTGACCTACAAATTCAAGATTACTGAAGAATGCCTGACCCGAGCAAGAGGTTATGAACGTTTCAACTTCAAGGTTCCTCTGTGCAGGGGGGAATTGGAGAATTATTGCATTCCTTCAAATTCTAATTGTAGTTGTTTATTAGGGTTGTAAAGCTTGGACAGGATTTGGTTATAAACAAAAATTCATTGTAAACAATTGTTATTCTGTTGGGAGGTCTAACACATTTTTCCATAAAAAGTCTTAAAAAGCAAAGCTTGGGGGAAGCCATGGCAAGATTTTATGGCTTTCAATAGAACAGGTTAGTATAGAAGGCATAACCTCAGTAATCACTGTCGGTAACTGTAATGGTTGACCTTAGAGTGGCAACCAATTAGTGGATGTCCGAATTTCCTCCTCTGCTTTGAACGGCACAGGTGCTTCACAACCGTCCATAAAATGGGGGCTCCATCAGCTCTCAAGAGTCGTTGCTTATCCAGCATGTTTGTTTACCTGTGATGTTAGTGCCCTTTTACTTTAGAGTGCCAACATCGCTGTTGTCTTTTTTTTAATCGTATCTTTTTTCCAGTCCATCTTTCGCTTTTAACACCCCTGTATTTGCAATTGAAGTTGCAATTGAATTCAGGGTTTAAGTCAAGAAAAACGCACTGACACGGCTGAATGGTTTGCTAAGGCTCGATAAGGTTACCAAGTTTTAGAATGTGCAGGCCTCTGGCCATAAATTTCTGTATCAGCCACTCTGATGAGAAATCTAATACATGTACACGTATTAGATCATCAGTGCTTTGTGCTGGATGTTTGCTCGTAATGATGTAAATACGTGTAATTCAACAACTCCATATATGACGGTAATGGATTGATGAATAAATGGTAATCACGCCCCTACAGATTCATTTTGCTCACTTTTTCTGCTTCTTTCCACATCACTTGTTGTCCACCGTGGATTTTTAGCAGTCTGTCAGGCAAACATAAAAAGATAAAAAAAATAGTCACTTCAGTGACAAAGAAATTAATCTCCCTTGCACATTACTTGTATATGAAGTGTACATGTGATTTTAAACATCGAGTATTATGTGTTAATGTCACGAGTATCTTTCTATTGATTTGTGTGTAACTCATGCCCTGTAGCCTGTAGGCCTATGTCATTTTTTCCAGACATATTCTTTTGCATTGGCCTTTTGTAAATGGAAAACATTTCCTGAATTCCCATTACCTCCGGTCAACATTCCACCCTTGCAGTATTTCTCCCGCGTAGGTAAAAAGGTATGTCACAATGTACATGGTTACTTCGGTAATGATTTCAGGTTTGAGCGAAGCCGGGCAAGGGGATGTTGGCAATCTTGGATCATAATGAGGTCTTCTTATCTTCGTTCGAGGTTGCACTAGGCTATTTCCCGCCCGGATACTGGGAACGCGTTCTCGTTTGTGTGCGCCAAATAGGGGTGCCGAAAAATAGAGCAGGATTTGCCAAATGCCATGGTCCAAAGAGAAAGAGTCGATTTCAGTTCCATTTGGCCAGTCAGCCACGTGGTTCAGACATTCAGAATTATGATAATATTTGTCACACTGTGTGAAAGTACGGGTGAAATGAAACAGAGAATATAAGATTGTAAACTTCATTTTGAAGTAAAGACTTGAAGTTTGAGCCGTTATAGTTTCCGTCTGCCTAAACCAGTCTGGAAAGACCGCTTTAGGTTTGCACTTAATGCTATATCGATTACAATAAGATTTAACTTCGAGGAGTAAACATGTTGTGTCAACTGTTTTGAACGTGACTTTCAATTCCATTTTTTCGTCTCTGTGATACATTGACCCCTTGCGGAGAGCGAGGATTGGCCAGCGGATGAAGTGCGGAAATCCGGGGATGTTGCAACGGAATAGTCTCGACACCCGAGGGTTCGTTAAGCAAACAGCTTTGTGAACTTTCCCTTTCACATGATCTGAAAAGGAGATACGTGAACTTTTACTCGTGCCATAAAATTAAGCATGAACCTGCCATGTTGTTTGGTTATTTTTTAATGATAGGGCTAGTTGTCAGCAGAATATTGCTAACTTCCATTCCACAAAAGTTATCCCGACTTGCTGCAAGAGGTCATCAAAATTTATATTTTAATTAAGAGAAATATGCACATAAAATGTAGGAGTAAGAGCAGTGGCTAAAAAGTTAAGGAAAATAGCGAACATACAACGGCCAATACGGTCCGTAAGGCCATGTAAACCGACTACCGCTGCTTGAACCTGGACAAGGTCAGAAGGAAAATCACGCCTTGCTGCTCAGGTTCCCGTGAGGACATTGACCTCGAAATGAAACGAAATCAGCTGTAAAGACCTAACTCAAACCTTCATTAAACAATGGAGGGAGAAATGTGATATTTTCACTTTAATGCCTGACGATTGTTCACGTGACATGTTTTTTGCGCCAGTCATGTACATGTACTTCGTGTCATCGCGGGCCTCAGTATTTTGCATCACTGTGTGTACGGAATGGCGTGAACCAGCGTAGGCCCTTACTACACACGGCATATTGTTTCAGCCATGCACGACGTATTCAAATACACTGTTGGTTCGTTATTTCGAAAAAACAAATCAAAACAAACAAACAAACAAACAATCGTGCCCGATGTGAAAAGATTGTTCAACATATCGCGCAAACGGAATGAACCCTTTTGAATGCGCTGTTAAATAAATCTGTACGTCCATCATGTTTGTTGTGGCCACCGTTAACAAAATTACGACGGTCAGGACCACGACAGCCTAGTTTAGTCCTTTGATTTGACGTCCCGATAACATTTTGTTCCCATGTCTCTCGGTACGTCATTTTCTTCCTGTACGGTCGGTTTATTCAAAAACTAGGAAATTATAAAAGTAAAAGCTTTCCTGGGATTAATTAAATATCCCTAGAATCTGCGTCAATGCATCATTCTAAGGCATTGAATTTAACACCAAGTTAACAGCACGGATTTGCAATGGACTTGAAGCACGCACGACTTCGAGTGCCCATATACACGTACATGCACATGTACCTGTACTTTAGAATCTATTATGTTGCGGAGAAGTTGAGCCTTACCGTGGCCTTCCGGGAAATGAGGAACAAAGGATGGTGTGTTTTGTACTTTCACCATCACGAAACGGCTGACTTCACTCTTTAAACCACAAATATGCCACACTTGCTGAATTTCATTTTATTATAGTTCGCCGCAAAAGTTTTCGATAATGTCGTCATTCCATTTCAGCAAATGTGTGCATTTACAGTTTTCAACAGTGTAGATTCGTTGCACCAATTGACTAGTGTAGTGACCAGTTAAATTGATCAAGTTGGTCATCTACTCCCAATAGATGCTGTATTTTAGACTCTGTCTTCAATATCCTGATTCAGTAAAGTTACAATTCATATATATGTCATGATTCTTTCTATATTCTTTTAACAAATGTTAATTTTATAATGCATTACTATTCAAAGTGTTCTGACGCAGGTTTCCATTTTCGGCCAAGCAAACTGTGCGAACTGCTCTTTAAAAGCTAGGAGACCACACGGTGTATTACTCACGATGTCTGGGTTTTCCATCGGTCATGGTCCACCAACGTGCCGAGAAACGCGGTAAGATCTTCCCTAATTGGCTACCGGGAGGCTCCACATGGGGACTGGTTACATTAAATCTGAGGATTGAGTATCATTCTGTAGTGTTAACGTCAAAAACTGCATTGTAAAATCGACACTTGAAGGGATGGTTCAGTATAACAGTGGTGTTAATTCAACACACTGTATTACCATAACTGATAGTGCAATTATAAAGCAGAAGTTATTACATTTTGGAAATGGTTTCTTGTGGATGATTATTGATAACATACATGTACATGTACAATGTACATAATTCCGGGCTATGGACGTGATTTTCTTTTCGACTAGTTTGCGGCGCGGCCGGAGCATTGCGGGTGGTCTTGGCTTTTCGTAGTACATTATATTAATACATGTACATTATAAGGCAAATATTTAAATGAGCATGAGGGAACGAGGAGAGCACGTAACAGGCTGTAGTCGATTTTATTGAAACACGCAGTTATTTCCTTGGACCTGTGTAGAGACCAGCGACCCCGTAAGCTGACTTGTAAAAACACTCGAATGGACAGACGGGAATTGATTGAAGACCGTCTATCCCAAGGAAGAAACCGTGACCTTTGACTACTAATTACTTTCAAACATGTACTCTAAACTAAATATCAACAAGGATTTCTTTGTCGCTCTGCAACCTGACGTAGACATGGAAGATCTCAGCAGAGAGTGCATAAAGCAAGTATTGTCCATGCTGAGGACACTGACATCATATAAAAAAATTCGAGGGCTGGAAATCACGGACGACTGTTTGTCCCACAGCTCTCGTCTGATTCAATTCTCATATCAAGTTTTTTTTTGTGGCCAGTCGAGAGGGTTCCGTTGACAGACACCAGGATTACTGTTGAATTACTGATTGGCTAAAACTTGATTGATCCTCGATATGGCGTGACAGAGGCAGCACTAAGCACTGAACGTTCACTCCAACACTATTATACATTTTACTTGAAGAGGCAAACGACAATTCTTTATGTCTTCTTTCCATTCCTAATGTGATTAGTACCACAGGAAGATACCCCACTTTTGTGATTGCCAGTAATTGCCCAATTATCGAAACTGTTAAATTGACCCGGGACATGTGTTATTATCTTAAGCAATTAGCTGAAAGGGCTACCAGGGATGGGATTATAAACCAATTATGTAAAAACTCCCCATAATTCACGTGTGGATTTGTTGCAACTTTTCACGGTGCTTAGGAACTAAACGAATGTCATTCCTTCAGTTTTCACTAATTGTTGAGGAAAATGTGCACGCCCCGTCACTCAGATCATTATTTTTTGAGGTAGTGTTCTGCATTTGATCATTTTGTGCATTGTGCAACAATTTTTTGATGAAAAAACCCAATAATCTACATTAGGGTTTCACACTGGGTCTCACCATTTTTACAAGCAGTCCTTCTCATTTCAGGAAAATCATCGTTGTCAAATTGCAGAGCGACGAGACAGATCCTGGCCCGTCGCAGAGCTAAAACTAGACCAGTTGAGGGCTAGGCTGTCTCAGTTTCTCCTAGGCAGGGAAATGATGTCACCATCCAATTTCAATCATGCAATGCCATGTTTAGCATCTGTTAGTGTCAAGACTTCCCCGCGACCTCTCCTGTTCACTTCGTCCTGAATACTCGAAGGATTACAGAAGAAATCAAGTCAGTCTGGTATTCTCATCTTCCGTTAAAGCAAGAGTTTTTGCTCGATGGTTCGTGAAAAAAGCTTCCTCTCTGCTTGCATTCGGTCTGGGAAGTTGCCAAAACAGCAATAAAAATAAACACAGAACGAAAGTTGAAGATAAAGTCAGGCATTCGTCATCTTGTAAAAATAGACTGGGTGGAGGAGGAGCGAAGAGAAAGTTCTTTTATTTAAAGTAAATAAAGCAGTTTGCTACGTCTACAATTTGTATGATTGATAGACGACAAGTTCATATATACAAAACCAAAGTCTTCGCTTACTCCAGGTTTGATAACGCCTCCCTGCACACGCAAAACACTTTCAGCCATTTCCAATTGGAAATGACAGTTTTGACAGTCATATTGATTTCATGTCGCAGATTATTTTATCCAAGTTTTCATTGCAGATTTAAGCATTACACCATCACTTTTTGGGCCCAATTAATATTGTAAATTTACCACTGAGTAACAACTGAATTAATTTTTTTTGTGTGTGGCTTCCAAAGCCCAGCTTTTATGTATTAAGACAACTTTCTTATTCTCTGCTGTAAAAGCAGGACGTCAAGAACTTTGAAAGCGATAGGGTCTGGATTTTCACTTGGACTCATAAACCCATATCTCTAATTTTCTTCACAGGGTGGTTACTGTCAAGGCCCAAGCTGATGTAAAACAGGCCGAGTTTAGCGCACAGGCTTCTGCAAATCACTCCGAAGTTCAGTCATTCCGTCTAGTCTTGCGGCCTACATGATAATCGTTTACAAGGGGTCTCCTGTGCCTGGATGACGGACCGTCGGCGGGGTTTAACCCGGCTGGATAAGGCCAGGGGATTTACACGGTCGAGGGCCTAGCATTTCCGATCAGGGAGATTGAAACTAGCGAGGACTCTCAAAGAGTCAAGAAATCGAGATGGACGGGTGTGCGCTCAGGGATAACTCAAAATATCATGCACTTGGAGGAAACGCTGGTAAATTGCCAAGTTTATAGCTAAGTTTTGCTGCTAGATTTCGGCTGAAATCTCCTATGTACCTGTTATCTTAAACAATGATTTTTTCCCTGGTGAAGAACAATCAAACTTCAAGTAGGATTTCTTGGATTGGAACATTCCGGAAGTTGTCCTTTTCATCTTAATCTTTTTTTCTACTTTGGGTGCATGCCCGCTGCAATCATACCCTTATCAAAGGGCCTTTGGAAACTTAAAATATGAACAAACTCATGTTCCAGGCGGCTAATTAAACGATACATACGAATTGCTATACTTATTTTTTCAATGATGTATAGTTCAGTTGCGTTTTTAGCCTCGTTTGGAGATGTAAGTTTTTCTGTCGACATTTTGGCCTTCTTGTATTTGCTAATTATTGTGTCCATGTTGTGTCCACATTCACACTGGTTACTTGTATTGTTGACTATTGTGTCCTTGTTGTGTCCACATTCACACTGGTTACTTATATTGTTGACTATTGTGTCCATGTTGTGTCCACATTCACACTGGTTACTTATATTGTTGATTTTATTGTGTCCATGTTCTGTCCACATTCACAGGGGTTATTTATATTGTTGACTCTTGTGTCCATGTCGTGTCCACATTCACACTGGTTACTTATATTGTTTATTATTGTGTCCATGTTGTGTCCACATTCACACGGGTTACTTATATTGTTGATTATTGTGTCCATGTCGTGTCTACATGCACACGGGTTACTTATATTGTTGATTATTGTGTCCATGTTCTGTCCACATTCACACTGGTTACTTATATTGTTGACTATTGTCTCCATGTTGTGTCCACATTCACACTGGTTACTTATATTGTTGATTATTGTGTCCATGTCGTGTCCACATTCACACGGGTTACTTATATTGTTAACTATTGTCTCCATGTTGTGTCCACATTCACACGGGTTACTTATATTGTTGATTATTATGTCCATGTCGTGTGCACATTCACGCTGGTTACTTATATTGTTGACTATTGTCTCCATGTTGTGTCCACATTCACACTGGTTACTTATATTGTTGATTATTGTGTCCATGTCGTGTCTAGATGCACACGGCCCGGGTTACTTATATTGTTCATTTTGTCCCAGGAAAGGAACACGCTTCACAGCCCCACGATCTGTTCCTTGCATCACTTCATTGGTTTCATCATTGGAGACTCGGACGCCTGAGAGCTGCTTCAGTTGAGGAATATTGCCATCACTGCAGCTGTGATGCAGGTCTCCAAAGGCTCGCTAGTAATTGCACGGATACAGGCCACCGCGACAGAATTATTTTCTCAAGGTAACTGTACCTTCAATATTATTGATACACCCCGAACATAAGTCGCTTTGTTCTGAGCGTGGATGTGAGATGATATTCGAACCACATGTGATTAGATTACAATGGAGGTCCTGTACTTTGTTTAGACGTTGTGGAGTAATTTATCAGAAATCATGACAAGCTGCCCAACCCGTCTGTCCACGCTGGAGATGCAAGCATAAAGCACCCCAGCAGGCAGCAATAACCAAGCCAGCCAGGGGCACAGCAGGGTGCGGTACTAATCGGTGCAAATTTTTACCGACAGACCATCTCGACACAAATTGGTTTAAAGTTTCTACATCTTTTTTCACCGCGTTCATCCACTTCTTTGGCTGTTAGTACATCATGATGGCTTTCTTATAGGCAAGGTGAAAACTATACGCAGTAAAAAGCACAAATAAAGTCAGTGGCTGAGCCATTGAGGGAAATTCTTAAACAGCTAAAACTCGCCAGCGACCAAAATACATGTACCCCTAAACTTTCTGTCGAGCTAATTTTCACACAATTGGAAATACCTGTATCGAGAAAAATTCAGAAATTTAGTTCAGGTGGTTCCCAATGCTCTCCCAAGTTTGTCTAATGAAGCTCTCAAAGAGGACAATGTTGGGGTGGGGGGTTCTTGTCCCTAAGCTAAACAGTTCTTTTCGATGCTATAAAAAGCAGCTAAACAATATTTTCCTTTTTACTGTAGCAGGTGGAAGCATTAAGTGAAGCCAGTTGAAACCCAGCGCACTCTTGACTCTGCAGTAGTTCACGCAACCTTGACTTCTGTCTCCTCCCTGTAAAATGCTAATTGTGATCATCGACCTACAGTCGGCGCCTCGAGCGAGACTTGCCTTTATTGGCATAATAAATCACTCCACTCTCCTGGGAACCAGACTACACGGTCGCTTGCTTCAGACGGTAACGTCAACATCACAGGTCAAAGCAGAGGCATACGGGGGCTTATAAAATGGTGAACCGAAAAGGTTAAAAATCGTTGAATGAAAGCAGAGGTTCACTTCTGCCTGTTTTGAGGCTTTCTGAGACTGATTCATTCATGCTCATCAGACCACCTGTATTTTTAGAAATGTCTTTCACCAACTGAAGCCCGTGTGAGGTTTAAATGTCATTTAAAACAAGTGCTTTATGTGCTCTTGCTCAATGGTTTATAGAGTCCTGGTCCATACTCCGTCCATGAATACAAAATGTCCCTGGAAAGCTGCTTTCAGAGACTGGAAACAAGGCCACGTAACAGGCGTAAGTTTTACCCTGCTATCCCTGAACGTATCAGTGAAGGCATCAGGTCCCCTTAGGGCCTTCATAGCCAATTAAAAACAGATCCCGACTTCCAGTCGTCTTGAGGTGGTCTCATCTCAACCTTCCATCCTAATTAATGCCTCTGGTCAAGCAGACAATCCTCGTTTGTTTTCCTTTGATCGTCCTTTTCATTTCCAAAGGATGTAAATCGTTGGCCGGGAGGGGAGTGCATGTGATTGAAAGATGTGAAGCGCCTTCTGTCTGTAATTACTCTTTTAATGATGAATTCCCACAGGAAGCAGAAGTAAACAATTACCAAAAGGTACACTTCGATTGTCTGATTCTGTGTTCAATTTATGTCCCTGATCTTATCCAGTCAACCAAATACATGTACATGTCTCCTTATGTAAGGGTGCTCATCAATATTTATTTCAAGAAAAAGCCACATTACTAAGCGAGACTCGGAAATCAGTGAGAAAGCAGGAGAAACTATTTTGATCATCTACAGGGTATGTATTCTGAAGTCAAAACAAACGTATTTTAATCATCTCTGAGACATGTGGATTACAATTTTCATCAATACTCAAATGTGAAAATTTTTACAAATTCCGCAAGGGGTTAGCCTTGCAAAAAATGAAATTTT